ATTAAGTGGGGAATAACAGAATGGAACAAGTGAGAAAAATCAGAACAGTGCTTAGATGGGTAAAAGTAAAGAAACCCTAGCAGTCAAGTAGTAGCTGTAGTGTGAGAGGAGGTATGCATTATTAGAAATACATTTTCAATTTAAGAAAATGTTATCTTTAGTTAGATTGATCAATACTCATAGTCAAGTTCAGGTTAGAAATTATAGCCTAGTGTCTCTTTGCCCTATAACGTTAGATTAGGTTTAACATGGGTCTTTGTTATTTTAGGATTACCTGTAATTCGTCTTACTGGTATATTGTAAATTAGGTTAACTATATTTTTTTTTCTTCAAAACATCACATCTCATACATAAGTTATTGTCAGTGCATACTTACTTAATTATAATTTTGTTATTATTTATCTTTTATACTTCTTCATATTTACTTTGTCCACACAAACTTCTTCTCCTGATGTTGTACATAATTATTGTTAGGTTAGGGTTTTTAAATTAGAGCTTAGTGATATACTTTGTTCTGCACAATTTCTTTAGGCTTAACAAGTGTCTGTTATTTAGTTACCTGTAGTTCATATTAAGGGTAAATTGATAATTAGGTTAAATATTTTGTTTTTCTTAAACACATAACATCTAATCCATATGTTTATTTCACTACACATTTACTTAAATTTACATTATATCGAATATTTCATTTCCATAATTTATTATAATTTGTACTTCTTACAATTAATTTAGTTTGTGAGGACCCTCCACACTTAGCTTCTTTGCTTTTGGGATCTTCTGGAGTGGGACACTGTCATGTACTATATTTTTACCATTCACTTCTAATAGGGACTTATGGTTGGCTTTTTTTCTCCACCGATCCAGTTTTTGGGGCTACTCCTGTGCATTTAGCATCACTTGGGGTATCTGTGATGTTGTATTCTATTTTTTTTTAGTTGCTCTCATGTTTCATTCTGATCCATTGTCATCTTTATTCATGTTCCACGTCTGGCACCTTCCTGTCTTTACCTGTCCTATCTGTGGGCTTCTCCATTTATTGTGTATGCTCAATGCTAATTTAAGTTCTGGATTGATCAGTCCCTCCTCAATCACTTCTTGGTTCTTTCCCAGTTTAATATATAGTGTTTGACCACAATCAGGTAGGCAATTACTGCAGGACTGAGAATGCCCACAGTACACGTTTTTGTTCTTCATTTCTAGGAATGCTATTTTAGATTTTTTCATCACATGATTTGTTACCAGTTTTGTGCCTTGCCCTTCAGACTTGTTTTGGTTCCATAGGTCTTTTGTCGGGTGGTCTGCATTTTTACTTGACTTCTGCATTTTGGTGGATTGTACTAACACCACTACTTGAATGTCTGGCTTTGGTTAGCTCCTTCCAAACAAGGGTGGTCATAACATACTTGTCTACTTCTTACACAACTAGCTTGGGTGGTTGGATTTTCCAGTTAGATATGTTTTTTCCTGTTACCTACCTAAGAGTCTTATCTGTTTGGGGAGTGTCTTTTTAAACACCCACCTCTGTTGGAACCATCCATTCTCCTGCTCGAATGCATTTGATGGAGCTTTCTGTTATCCATGGCATTATGGGTAATTATCTTACTGCTAGCAAAGTTCTAATGCATTGGAGGATGTAGCTTCTATGAAAGCCCTTCTCCCTCTGGGTCTGACACATTTGTGATCTTTTTAGGATATGCTGCATGGCCCATGGTCTCTTGCTAGGTTTCCTTTGGATTCTCCTCTTAACTTTCCTACTTTATTCTTTAACTGTATGCATTGGTGGTTGAACATATTCTCCATGTCATCAGATTTACTTCTTCCTCCTCATCATCCAGATTTGTTTCTCTTCCCTGGGTTGATCAGTAGGAGGCTTTAGGACAATGGTCTACAGATGAAAGATCTTACTATGTTAATACCCTGGCTCTTTCAGCAGTCCAGTATGCTTTACTTCACTTTCTTCCTCTTGTCCGGCTTTAAATAATCATGTTTCATTCCAACTATTTGACGATGGTGGCTTATATCACTTGCCAAGGGGACACTCATTCTTGTTCCCTTTGTGATAGACAGTGTATCTCCCTTTGTAAACCCACACACTTGACATACGTCCTTTCAACCTTGTTGCAGATCACCTTTCCAGTACCAACACACTTTCTCCCAAGGAGCGGCCTCTCGATCCTCATATTTTTGGTAGCTCTGCCTCCTTTGGGATACTCTTCCATGGGAAGCATTTGATCCTTTCTCGATTCCAAGTTACCTCTTTTGTTTTTGGTCTCCAGTTCATTAACCACTCAACCTGGATGTTGATACATTCAGACAGGATTACATCCAGTTTATAACTTTAGTTTTTCTCACTCCATCAGTCTTCTTCCCAAGGTGATTTTGATCATCCACATCACTCCAGGTCAGATATTTCTGATTGATCCTTCCTGGCTGGCACAGATCTAGTTTTCTCGACTGTTTCGGCTTGATATGTTCTTTTTGTTCTGGATTGATTTTACTAGCCTACACTTTGGGGGCTCATATTGAATATTCTTTTTGTCATATTTGTTTCTTGCCATCTTCCACCTTATTCTTGTTTGGATCCAGATGACCTTCTCTGTCCTGTACATGCTCTAGGTTACTTCATTGCTTTCAAGGCTTCTTTCTGTTTGATTTTTTTCCCTTCCTCCCTTACCCTTTGGGTTCAGCTTGTGATCCGATTGGCTTTTATTCCTTGTCTCCTTTTTCCTGTAATCAATTCCTGGTGTCTTCACTCCAATCAAGCACCTTACCTTTTACCTGCATCTCAACCCCTATCATCTGTTGGAGGTACTTCATCTGTCGAGTACACCTCGTATATTCATCTCCCACTATTTGCATTATTTGTTTCTTCCTTGTCGAGGTACTGTCTTTCACCTGTTTCCATCTTTCACTCTTCTGTGAGACTTAACTGGGTAAGTTTTCTTTGTATTGTTATATATATTATTTTTCAAGGTCCTGTACAGGTATATTTGAAGCAATTAGAATTGTACTAAAACCTGCAATGTAAGGCCATATTGACTTCGTTTTCATAATTTCCATGGGCATAAAATGAACAGATGGGGGTGTTCCACAAGATTGGTCATAAGTTATTCCTTGCAATGTGTATACATATAGATGCTCGATAAATATGCCCATTTCAGACTATATTCACCTATGGACTTCATGGGTAAACCAGAAGGGGATTGTTACCCATCCTTACCATTCCTTAGATTAAATAAATTGGGTTTGCTTTTCAAAATAGGGTAATTTCCATGGGCATAAAATGAACAGATGGGGTGTTCCACAAGATTGGTCATACGTTATTCCTTGCAATGTGTATACATATAGATGCTCGATAAATATGCCCATTCGGACTTTATTCACCCATGGACTTCATGGGTAAACCAGAAGGGGATTGCTACCCATCCTTACCATTCCTTAGATTGAATAAATTGGGTTTGCTTTTCAAAATAGGGTAAAAGAGTCCTTACCATGTTCCAGTTCCAAGCTGCTGGGGTGGTGGACTATGGTGGTATCCTTCTGAGTGAGAGATATACAATAAAGACTCCATTCAGTTGAGAGTAGGATGGAGGTGTTCTGTTGGTGTGGATGATATGTCCTCCAAATGGAGGTTCCATCTGTACGTGCAGTTATCTGAGAGTATGTTGTAGCTTTGGAGTGCACTGTCATAATGATTGAAATTCCTCATCCTACCTCTGCATGGAAGTCGGTTCCCAGCAGTTGAGTTTTGTATTTAGAACTCAACCAGTCAACATAAGTCTTCACACATCTGTTCATAGTGTCCTTGGTCCTTCACTCAATTTGCCCTGGGTGCACTTGTTGGTTACTCCACTGTTTCTTCTTGTGCTACCTCTCGATATCTTTATGCCAAGGATGTTACTGCATTTGAGGTGGTTCTGGTCGGCGTAATTTGAGGTGAAAATGGTATGATCCTCTTTCCTACCCCCTTACATGGATGTCGGTTCCCGACAGTTGAGTTTTGGATTCTAGTGGACTTACGGATGATATGATCCTCGTCCTACCCCTACATGGATGTTGGTTCCCAGCAGTCAAGTTTTGTGGCACATCCCTTGTTGTACCCACATTCTATTCATCAGGGAGATTGAAATTATAATATATTATAGTTAGGATCACTGTCCAACCGTTTTCTTTCCCATTGGGATGTGCTTCTCACTACTTCTGCCCAGATCTGTCACACCTTTTCTAAATCTGGGCAAAGAGTATACCTGTAACAGAAGTGGTTTGGTCTCCCACATATAATCCTCTTATTAGAGGGTTCCCTTGTTAGGGTGTCCTTGGGATACTTTTACTTTCTCCCTCGCACTGGTCCCCCTCCCCCCTATTCAGTGTGGAATTCTAGCTATGTATGTGAGTGGAAGTAAGGTACCTTGTCAGAAGTTATAATTTTTCTATACTGAAAAAGTATTTCTGACAGGTACTTCCTTCTGCTCACTCTTCTCACCTTTCCTCCCCACTGTGAACTGGTGCTTACATTTCTGCCTAAATACGAAGTAATAGCTAGGTAGAATATCAAAGAGGGAGTCACATGGGTGTGTGGCACTACTATTGGTGGAGGTATGTTGCATGATAATTTGCATGTGAGAATCAGTTAATCCATGTGAATCAAGGCATGCATGGGAGTGAAAGGCTTGTGGAATGTGAAAAATTGTTTGCAAATAGAGGGCAGCACTGAATGAGAATAGCTATGTATGTGAGTGTAGGAAAATTATAACTTTGGATTAAGAAATACATGTGGAACATAGTTATATTTACCTTTGTTTGTAATATAACTGGATTTAGAAATTTGTGTGTCTGTTATAACTATATTTTATAACTGGGGTAGATAAAAAAGAAAATTTATGAAAAACATCTCAGTTCCTGGTAATATGGAATAAATAAATAAACTTCTTTGCTGCTCATCATAAACAATTCTGTCTCATAAAAGTGTATATATATATTTTTTTCTTCTCTCTCTCTAGGAAAAAGTAGTAGGTGCCAAATCTTCAAGAGACACTATTGAGGTCAGTTATGTTTTATTATACAATTTAACTTATCTCGTATATTTTGCTACAAATTTCTTCATTGTTTAAATTAACCAAATGCAATCTTTGATAGGCTGTTTAGGCAGAGTATTCATAATGAATGTAAGTTTCAAATGGACAGCAACTACCTGTTGTAGAAACAATAAAAAAATAGAGTAGTAGTAGTAGTAGTAGTAGTAGTAGTACGTAGTACGTTACGTAGTTACGTTACGTTACGTTACGTTACGTTACGTTA